CTGCACAGCATCTGGAGGGAGGACAGCGGCCTCCACAGCATCTGGAGTGAGGACAAAGCCTGCACAGCATCTGGAGAGAGGACAAAGCCTCCACAGCATCTGGAGGGAGGACAGCAGCCTCCACAGCATCTGGAGGGAGGACAGCGGCCTGCACAGCACCTGGAGGGAGGACAGCGGCCTCCACAGCATCTGGAGGGAGGACAGCGGCCTGCACAGCTCCTGGAGGGAGGACAGCGGCCTCCACAGCATCTGGAGGGAGGACAGCGGCCTGCACAGCATCTGGAGGGAGGACAGCGGCCTCCACAGCATCTGGAGGGAGGACAGCGGCCTGCACAGCACCTGGAGGGAGGACAGCGGCCTCCACAGCATCTGGAGGGAGGACAGCGGCCTGCACAGCATCTGGAGGGAGGACAGCGGCCTGCACAGCATCTGGAGTCTTCATGGCTCAGGGCTCCTAACGGAATGTCTGCACCGGAGAAGCAGAAACCACGTCAGGAGAGCTGGTCTTCAGACCTTCACGTTCTTCTCTCTTTGCACGAGGCGTAACATGACACGTGTCCTTGTGGGCTCCCGTGCTGCCCACTGACCCCGTGTGGGATGAGCTCGGTCGGGTGACAAGCTTTGGCCACGTGGTCGGGCGCCTTTAAACACGTATGCTGTCAGTTTCTGCCCTGGCCATTTTTTGGACGCTTCCATACTGCTGTGGCGAGTTTGGCTCGGAATCTTCTTTCGGCACCAGGTTGCTTTTTATGCTCTCAATCTCCTGCCTTCTGGGTCCTCGGGGCTGAGTGAGAGACGAGTTTAGGATCAACCTTTCACACCTACATGCTCTCCGTGACACGTTCATGGGGATAAACCCGTGGCTCGATGCCCAGAACCGCTGCTCGCTCTCATTTGCAAACAGATCTGACGGCTCAGATCGCCCTGAGCTCATCAACTGTCACATGACCGTGTGTTCAGTGTGAAAAGACGACGACGTTGTGCTGACGTCACGTCTCGATGACTCTTATTGGGGCATCGGGGGACACAGAGCTGCAGGAAGGTTCCTGGTGTCCCAAGCCGGCAACCAGGCCTCAGTCCTCACATTGAGAAGGCGAAGGAGATGCGACAAGCCATCTCCCACTCTGTACACGTCTGCCGTGGCCTAACAGCCCACAGTCGCCTCACACACACCCCTGAGGGACACACGGACTCGCGGACCGTCCAGGCATACAGACAAGTTCACGTCACATGCAGTGAGCGACGTGTATGTAGCTTTGTAGTGAGGAGATGCATTCATGAGCGTGAAGCCCATAGAAATGTACAAAGGTTTCCTCGTACTGAAAACACTCCTAAGTTTTTCCCTCCCATGTGATTTCCTTCATGGCTTGGAAAAAAGGTGACGTGCAAAGGCTTTGCTGGTTATATTCATGTTTTCACTCCACTGCGAACTCTTTCATGTCTTCAGAGATCGCTGCAATGTGCAGTGATTAAATCAATCGAGTTTCTTTGCAGTATGAACTGTTTCATGCCTGTAGAGAATACCAGATTGTGCAAAGGCTTTACCACACTTAGTACATTGGTACGGTTTCTCTCCGGTGTGTGTTCTCTCATGACTGTGGAGATGACTGAGTCGTGCAAAGGCTTTCCCACACTGAACACATTCGTAGGGTTTCTCTCCGGTGTGTGTTCTTTCATGCCTGTGGAGACTACTGGTTTGTGCAAAGGCTTTACCACACTGAGTACATTTGTACGGTTTCTCTCCGGTGTGTGTTCTTTCATGCTTTTGGAGATAACTACAACATGCAAAGGCTTTCCCACATTGACTACATTCATAGGGTTTCTCTCCGGTGTGTATTCTTTCATGACTGTGGAGATGACTGAGTCGTGCAATGGCTTTCCCACACTGAACACATTCGTAGGGTTTCTCTCCGGTGTGTGTTCTTTCATGCTTGTGGAGATAACTGGGTTGTGCAAAGGCTTTACCACACTGAGTACATTTGTACGGTTTCTCTCCGGTGTGTGTTCTCTCATGACTGTGGAGACCACTACGATGTGCAAAGGCTTTACCACAATGACTACATTCAAAGGGTTTCTCTCCGGTGTGTATTCTTTCATGCTTTCGGAGATCACTACAACGTGCAAAAGCTTTCCCACACTGAACACATTCATAGGGTTTTTCTCCGGTGTGTGTTCTTTTATGATTTCGGAGACCAGTACAACATGCAAAGGCTTTCCCACACTGATTACATTCATAGGGTTTCTCTCCGGTGTGTGTTCTTTCATGCTTTCGGAGACCAGTACAACATGCAAAGGCTTTACAACATTGACTACATTCATAAGGTTTCTCTTCGGTGTGTGTTCTTTTATGACTGTGGAGATAACTGGGTTGTGAAAAGGTTTTCCCACACTGAACACATTTGTAGTTTTTCTCTCCGGTGTGACGTCTTTCATGGCTTCGAAGAATACTGCCACGTACAAAGGCTTTATCACTTTGGTTGCATTTGTAGGGTTTCTCTCCAGGGTGTGAGCTTCTATGCGTGTGGAGAAGTCCGTGTTGTGAAAAGGCTTCCCCACACTGGTTACATTCATAGGGATTCTCATAAGTAGGTGTTCTTTCATTCCTGCCAAGGTAATAAGTGTACATGTAAGCTTTACCGTGTTCATCACGCTGATGAGTCTTTTTATCGGTATAAATTAAGTTTGCAACTGGGTCTTATTGTAAAATGAAGATACATCTTTACCACTTTGTTTACATTCACAGTCTTCCCCTTGACTGTGGGTGTTTCGTACCTTCCAAGGCACCTCTCATGGTGAGAAACTATTACACTTACAGCATGATTTTTCTATACGTGGGTTTTCACACATGTCAAAGGACCTAGGCGAGCTCAGCTTCACCACAGCGAATGCATTCATTAATTTTCCTATATTCGTCGTCACACTGAATTTGTAAAGTGAACCAGAATGAACACAGCAGTTTCCACAGGGCCAGTGATCGTCGGGATTTCTTGTAGTGTGACTTCTTTGGCTAGGTTCCCGATGGGTTTGGAAAACTAATTGAGTGTATTACTTTAATTATTAGTAGTGCCCTGCTTTGCCTAGACTTTCTGAATGTGATACAAGTTTATGATTCATTTGTTGTTAATCATGAATGAATGAACACACGAACAAATATTAATTTCTAGTGTTGTCACTATCGTGCGTTCTAGTGTACACAAGTAGAGTGAAGTCTGGAACGCAATAGCCTATGGCGATGAGCATCTGGAAAAGGCCCGCTCAGGAAGAGTGGGCTCTGCTGGATCCTTCCCCAAAGCATCTATACACAGAGGTGAGGATGGAATCTACAGGATCATCACTGTTACTGAGGAGACAATGAATATTATTTGACAACTAATTTATAAGTTAGTGATGAATAAGGATGAATTAAATGTAACTTTGCACTGCATTCAGAAACCAGATGGTTTCAGCGCAGAATTCTACCAGTCCTTCAAAGAAGAGCTAACACCAGCTCTCTTCAAACTATTCCACAAAATACAAACAGAAGGAACATTACCAAACTCATTCTATGAAGCCACAGTCACCTTGGTACCTAAACCTCACAAAGACTCAACAAAGAAAGAGAATTTCAGGCCAATCTCCCTTATGAACACTGATGCAAAAATACTCAACAAAATACTCGCAAACCGAATACAAGAACACATCAAAGATATCATCCATTACATTATGACCAAGTAGGCTTCATCCCAGGTATGCAAGCATAGTTCAACATATGGAAATCCAACAATGTGATCCACCACATAAATAAACTGAAGGAGGAAAAACCCACATGATCATCTCCCTAGATGCTGAAAAAGCATTTGACAAAATCCAGCATCCATTCATGTTTGAAGTCTTGGAGAGATCAGGGACACAAGGCACATATCTGAACATAGTAAAGGCGATATATAGCAAGCCTATAGCCAACATCAAACTGAACGGAGAGAAACTTAAAGCAATCCCACTGAAGTCAGGGACAAAACAAGGTTGTTTGTTCTCTCCATATCTCTTCAACATAGTACTTGAAGTCCTTGCTAGAAGAATAAGAGAATTGAAGGAGATCAAGGGGATACAAATCGGAAAGGAAGAGGTCAAAATATCACTGTTTGCAGATGATATGATAGTATACATGAGTGACCCCAAAAACTCTACCAGGGAACACCTACAGCTGATAAACACCTTCAGCAAAGCGGCCGGATACAAAATTAACTCAAAAAATTCAGTAGCCCTCCTGTATACAAAAGACAAAAGGGCTGAGAGAGAAATTAGGGAAACAACACCCTTCATAATAGCCATAAAGAGCATAAAGTACTCTGGCTAAAATGCTCAATCCCTGTCTAGAAAGGCAAAGAGGCTGACATCAGAAGAAGGAGAAAAGAGGGAACAAGTCAGGAGCCTGACACAGAGGACCGCTGAAAAGCTCTGCCCTGCAGACTATCAATACAGATGCTGAGACTTATGGGCAACCTTTGGGCAGAGTGCAGGGAATCTTAGGAAAGAAGTGGGAAACAGTAAGATCTGGAGAGGACAGGAACTCCACAAGGAGAGCAACAGAACCAAAAAATCTGAGCAGCACAGGAGTCTTTCCTGAGACTCATACTCCAACCAAGGACTATGCATGGAGATAACCTAGAACCTGCACAGATGTAGCCCATGGCAGTTCAGTATCCAAGTGGGTTCCATAGTAATAGGAACAGGGACTGTCTCTGACATGAACTGATTGGCCTGCTCTTTAATTACCTCCCCCTGAGGGGGAAGCAGTATTACCAGGCCACAGAAGAGGACAAGGCATCCACTCCTGATGAGACCTGACTGACTAGGATCAGAAGGAAGGAAAAGAAGTCCTCCCCTGTCAGTGGACTTGGGGAGGGGCACGCATGCAGAGGGTGGAGGAAGGGAGGGATTGGGACTGGAGGAGGGAGGGAACCACAGGGGGGGATACCAAGTGAATAAAGTGTAATTAACAAAGCATTTGAAAAAGCAAAAAAAGAAAGAAAACAGTCAATCCGAGATGGCGGCGACCAGCGTGTACTAGACTCAGGAGGCCAAGACTCCCCGGCTGGTGAGTGGAGGCGCAGCTGAGCCCGAACATCGACCCTGAGGCTTCCCGGGCAGGAGGGACGACGCATGAGCTGGGACCATTGGGATCCGGGTCATCTGCGGCCCCTCTGGGGACGGAGGGTGGGAACATTCCATCTCCTGCTCTTCCGCTCGTCGGGTCTCCTCGTCCCCGGCGCCGGGGCCCCTGTCCTGCAGGTCCACCAGTAGACTCTTGGCAGACAGCTCCCAGAGCGCAGGACAAGCTGGATCCAAGGACACCGTGACAGGCCCATGGGACACTCGGGGAAGCAGGGACTCTCCACAAGCTCGATGCCTGTGGACGCTGGCAGCGCCACATCCCAGACACCTACACTCCCCAGCCCCCGACCTTCACGGCCCGCTTTCACACGCATGCACACGCGTGCTCCCCGCCCTCCTGAACCTGCATCCACACACGTGGACCTTCTTCCCTTAGCGACAGCTGAGGCACTGGGGCCCACTCCCAAACCACTGGACCTCTCTCACCTTCCTTGCCGGAGAAGGACGAAACCAGTCAGAACGAGTCGGCACAGGGACACATCCCACAGAGATCCGGACATCATGGCTTCACCAGCGACTCCCCAAATCAATGGATACTCCAATTCATCAGAAACACAGGAAAATGACTTTAAAGCAATGCTTATACAGTTATCAGTGGAACAGAAAGAGGAAACGAACACATTTCTCAAAGAAATAGCCACCTAAATGGAGGCTAATGAAGAGGAGACAAAGTTCTCAATGAAACAGCCGAACAAATGAAGGTAAATGAAGAGGAAACGAATGAAGCTCTTAAGGAAATACAGGCAAATATGGCCAAACAAATAGAGGCTCAAATAGATGCACAGTTAGTGACATACAGACCAGAAATGAACAAAAAATAGACACCGTCCCAGAAAGACAGGAATCCACATTCAAACCGATGAAGGAAATGGTGCAAGGCATGAAAACAGAATTAGAATCAACAGAGAAAACACAAACAGAGAAAACCCTGGAGATGGAGGACTTGGAGAAAAGATCGGAAACCACAGAGCTAAGCATCAGCAATTGAATACAAGAGATGAAAGAGAGAATCCAAGGTCCTGAAGATCCACTTGCAGAAAATGATACTTCTCTCAATGAGAATGGAGAATCGGGAAGGTTCCAAACAGAAAAATCCACGAAATCAAGGATGCCACGTAAAGACAAAAATCTAAGAATAACAGGGATGGATGAAAAAGAAGATTCCAGGCTCCAAGGTCCGGAACGTATTTTCAAGAAACTCAGAAGGAATTTCCCACAACTTAAAGAGAGAGATGTCCATAAACAAACAGAACACCAAACAGACTAGACCAAAAAAGAAACTCCTCAGGTCACATCGTAGTCAAAGCACCAAATCTACAGAACAAAGAAAAGATATTAAAAGCAGCAAGGGAACAGGGCCCAGTAACAGATGAAGGTAGAGCAATCAGAATCACGCCAGAAGCCTCCACAGAAACCATGAAAGCCTGAGGGCCTGGGCAGAGGTCGTGCAGACTTTACCAGAC